AGCTTCATCGGCAGGAGCTTCTTCTGCAGGAGCCTCCTCCGCGGGAGCTTCATCGGCAGGAACTTCCTCAGCAGGGGCTTCCTCGACAGGGGCTTCCTCAACAGGAGCTTCATCGGCAGGGGCCTCTTCCGCTGGGGCTTCCTCTGCCTGGGCTTCCTCCGCTGGAGCCTCTTCAACGGGAGTCTCCTCAGCGGCAGCTTCTTCTGCCGGAGCATCGTCAGTAGCTCCCTCCTCAGCAACCTCCTCAGCAACCTCTTCAGCAGCCTCTTCAGCAGGCACTTCAGGTGCTTCCTCGGCAGCAACCCCTTCAGATGGTCCTTCAGCAGTTTCCGTTCCTGCTAAATCTTCCTCCGGCTTTTCCTCCTCTTCTGCCGGGACTTCCTCCGCTGGGATTTCTTCTGTTTCTTTTGGTGGCTCTTCTTCAGGTACATCTTCTGGTTCTCCTTCACCTTGCTCCTCTTCGACTGCCTCTGCTTCTGGCTCCTCTTCAGCAGACACTGCTACCTCCTCGGCGGGTTGTTCTTCTGCATCAGCCGGGTTATCTTCTGCTGGCATCTCTTTAGCATCTTCAACCTCTTCTTCCTCTGGGGAAGCCTCCTCAGCCTCAGCAGGCGTCTCTTCACCAGGAGCATTCTCAAGGGGCACATTCTCTTCTTCAGCCTCCTTGCATTCTGAATCATCGCCGGCCGTTGTAGGTTCTGCGGCATCTGTTGCTTCATTCTCCTTGTCGTTGGAGGGATCTTCCCAAGATTCAGCCTCCTCTCCGGACGTAGCGTCGGTTGGTTCTGCTTCAGCTTTGTCTTCTGGAGTCTCAGCCTCGCTCTTCTCTACTTCATTTTCGGCTGTTGGTGAATCTTTTTGCTCGGAATCCTCTGTTGGCTCCTCTTTTCCATCTCCATCAGCGGGGTCATTCGATATTTCCGGATCTCCTTCTGCACTATCTTCAATGATGATTGCCACTTCTCTTTCTTCTTCTTCAGCATCCTCTGCTGCCTGCTTGGCCTCGGCCTCTTTTTCTGCCTCCACCTTATCTAGTTCTGCAGAAGGATCGCATTCTGGAAAATTGTCATCATCTAACCCGTCAGCGCTGATATTAAATCCAATCTACGCAGTTTGATTTACATACCATTGTTGTCCCATGGGTTCTCGTCATCAGCTGGTTTAACGGCTACTTCGTTTGGTTCTTCCGACGCCTCTTCTGGTGGCTTGTCATCATTACCGGGCTCTGCGCTATCGTTTTGAGCTTGGTCGTCGGAAATATTGTTCTCCTCTGCTGGCTGATTTTCAGCGGCTTTCTCCCCATCATCCCCACCTTGCTCGCCTGCGGCCTCATCAGTTTTACCATCCAGTCCTTGATTTTGACTTGAATCCTCAGTTTCAGCTACAGCTTCCTGGTTCTCGTCATTTTGATCTGGCTTGTCTTGGGGTTGATCAGAGGATTCTGGGTTCTCGGAATCAGGAGCAGGTGATTCTGATGAGTCCGGAGCTGAATAATGCGAACACAGCGCAGGACAAAAAGGTTAGTATATTGGTCATTCATGATGATCAACAAGACGATAAATCGCGCAGCTGAGGAATGAAGGGGAGGGTCCAATCCAGCTTACCTTCGGGTTCAGGTGGTGAGGACTCTTCAGCAGGAGGTGGAGGGTTGTCCTCAGAGGGCTTCTCTTCCGAGGTATTTTCTTCGACTACCGGGTTGCCCGTCTCATCCCCCTTTTCCGCTTCCGTGTCAGCAACGTCTGCATTAGGGTCCGGCGACAATGATACCGTAGCCTTAGGAACAATAGGATAATATGAAAATTTCAGAGTCCGACGATCAAACGTTTGATAGTGATGGTCGTTGAAACTCTGATACTGAAATTTAGGGAGCTTTGCATACTGGAACGTTGGCTGCTCCATCTTCAGGAGCTGCAATTGCCTTGCTGGCGTCTAACTCGGCGAAATTGTTTTCTTCTGTAGTAGGGGGAGCAGCGAGGTTAATAGTATTCTTCTTCTTATTCTTCTTCTTGCCCATAACGATCACGAATCACCGTTGGAAGGAGCTGGAGACTTTCGCGTGGCAAGGGGAACGAAACAATAGGAAGGAGAAGGCTTCTGCAAGTGATTACACAAAGCGATGTGTGGCCACAATCGTAGTAATAACGAAAAGGGGAAGACCAGAGGAGTCCAACGGAACACTTCGCTAATGTAATTGAGGACAGAAAAGGAAAAGCCGCTATGCCAGTGATCACAGCATAAAATAGTCGTGGTGAAGCTGCCTAGCGAACGCAAATGCAGCGTAACCCTCCTTTGGTAACAGCCCGATCAGCCAGATAGGGCATCGAGAGACGGAATCTTGGGGATCAGCAACCGCGTCGACCAATTGCCCTGGAGATTCAATGCCATTGGGGCCACGTCTCGCAGTCTGACGGGTTCCTGTGGAAAGGTGTGGGAATGTAAGGAAAATTCTGGAGCGGACCGTGAGGGTCATCATGATTCCTTCCGCCGGCAGAGCTGCATTGGTATGGATCAGTGAGGGGCAACATTAGAAGCGTGGGGAGAATTGGACTGGCTCGTTTGACGATTAGAGGAGAGATAGTCCGGGGGTCTGAACGACACATGGAGCGGGTCTGGCTGTCATCATGCTCATAATCGTCCCAATGATCTGTGAACGACATCAGATACGTAACCATTAGAAGCCACCTGCTGGCTGAGTCATCTGTATCTGTCAGGAGAGAGGGCGTTGCTCGAGCACAGCTCCGTATCGCGATGCTCATCTTGCCATTCCTGCCCAACGCCTCAGCCAATTAGCCGCATTGGGAGCAGCTGCTAATGTAAGGAAACGAGTTCCAGTTCCAAGAAACTGGTCATAGACATGTCCCACGAGACGCATGCAAGATGAGTGGTCTGTTCAAAGTGAAGCGAAATCCTCAGATGGGCCAACCCCACCTGAAAGTCAGTCGCCATCAATTGTTCGTCCTGAAGCCTATGATGCCCGGCTTAGGCCTCAATTCCCGCGCCACACTTGTACTCGTCATTTTGACTGAAACAATCGGGCAAGAGGAACCCGATTGACTCTTCAGAAGTACGTGGATCTGAATGAGGTGGCAGGATGGGCTCCCAGAATGGCAGCAAGTTTCAGGGACGTCGATTCCATTGGGTTCTTGACAAACAGGCGGACTGATGGAGACGACGGAGACAGTTGGGAATTGGATGCAGGTGGATGACGCCCAAAGAGGGAAAGCGCGTGAGGCGCGCGCCGGGCCGAGACGGAGCGCTGTTCTGGCAGGAGCTGATTGGGCAGGAGCGCACGGCGTCTACCGCACAATCCCCACGAGCTTCACCGAAGCTCGACGTCCGCCGCACACAACATAAACAATCCGCCCTGCCCGTGGCCAGCCCCCTCAAGAGTGGACAGTGAGAGATGCGAGAGCTCCAATGCGATGCATTGTCGTTGGATGTGTCAATGCCAGTCCGAAACATTCGGTCGTTATGCACATCAACGCCTCATGCGGACCTCAACATCTAGAACATTGTTCTCCCATCCAGAATTCAAGAGACTTCGAGAGAATAATGGCAGCGTGAATGATTTGTCTCTGTTTTCTGGTGCCTAAATACAGGGCTGAAGCTGAACACATTGTCGCCCTCCACGTGTACGCTGGTTTCGACTGTGGCGATGTCGAAGTACCGTTTTCCATTGTGATACGTACCACAACTACTCGACACGGGCAGCATTGATCGAGATGGCAGACAGGTCTCCAATTTTCTTGTGGTTGTCGTGACATGCTCATATCTACACGAATACAATGCGTATGCATACGCGTGCATTATCTCCGATATGGAAAACAAAGATCTCCAGATTGGGGCGCAGAAAGGCGGTCCTCAACGATCGATCGATTCCCCAAAGCTGCTAATTTTGGCTGATCAAACGTAATCATCGCTCTGACTTAGGCGAACAATTGATGCCCATCGCCGATTCCTTTTGGAGTACTCTGTACTCGCTTGACTCATAGACTGAAACCTGTACAAGGTCTATTCTTCCAGTACGAGACCCTATTCATCAAATGCAAACAAAGAAAAACCAGGTTACAGGGGTGACTGTTGTACAGGCAGATGATCAGCAAACTGCTCCATGCGCTGAGGCAATTGTGCTTGTGACTGATTTCCAAGCACTCATGACTCGGCTTATCTTTCCTCTTTTATTTTTCCCCTAACAGGAAACTCGCATAACCATCACATTGCCGCCTTAGGCGCACATTTAGCACCGTGGTGGTGTACGGAAGGCGCCGGGTAAAGCAGAAATTAGTGTAGGTTCGCATTGTCGACCTAAGGCAAGGAATGATGGGCATGGTATGTATGGTATTATGCATATATATGGCTGGGAACCACTCGGAAGAAGAAGCGATTGCAATATACCCTCCTTTTCCAAACGACCTTGCGGAAGAAAGAAACGAATTGAGTGACTCGAAGGCTAATTACCTTCTTTTCCCTCACACAGAAAAGGTCAATTGCATGTGACTGGCTAATATCGCCTCTATGGATTCGTTTATTCGTTAAGCTCTCTCTTCCCCTCCTAGTTCAGGCTTACCATGAAGGGAATGGACAGTAAGAATTCTTGCAATTCAGAGCTTGAAAGACACTGATAGACACTATATACAACATATGTCGGGATCATCTCCACTTGCCATGATCTTCTTCGGGACATGACGGAATCAGCAAAGGGAAACTGCAACGAAAATCCCCAAATTGATGTCACTATACAGGAAGTTTACAACGGAATAGCCATTCCGTCACCTCTCGGGTCGCTTCCGGCGCTATAGACCAGCTTTCCGTCATCATAGTGACACCGGATCAATTGGCCCCGACCAAACATGCCCCTCTGGTAACCCGTCAGCACTTCAACCTTGTGTCCCAGCTTACGCAGGCCCTCCACGGCTTCCTCGCTGATTCCCTCTTCCACATAAATGGTTCCGTCCGGGGTTTTGCCGACGGCAGGTGTCCCCGCTCCGATGCAGATCCGCGGAGCATCAAGCGCCGCCTGGGGGTTGAACTTGAACGCTAACATATTGAGAAGAACCTGAACGTGGCCTTGGGGCTGCATGAATCCGCCCATGACTCCGTACACTGAATGCAATGACCCATCGAGGTTGGTAATCATGGCAGGAATGATTGTGTGATATGGCCGCTTTCGCGGGGCGAGCACATTCGGATGCCCTTCTTGGAGGGAGAAATTGGCGCCACGGTTTTGCAAAGTAAATCCGCATCCCTCTGGGATGATGCAGGTTCCAAAGCCTTCGTAATTGCTGTTAATGAAAGAAATCCCGTTTCCTTCCTTATCGGTCACGGCAAAATAGACCGTATCGGAATGATTATGAGCCGGGCTTCCGTGGTCGATGACATCGCAGGCTTTGTTGGGGTCAAAAAGTTTGGCACGCTCGGCGAGGTAGGAACGTGAGATCAACTCTTGAGTGGGAACCTTCTCGACATCAGGATCCGTCACCCACCAGTTTGCGTCCGCAAAGGCGATGCGAAGACTCTCGATCACAGCATGAAGATATTCAGCGGAGTTGTGCTGTGCTTCGGTGAAGCGAGGGATCTTGCCCGTACGCTCCAGCTCCTCGAGGATTCCCAATGCCATCAGAGCCACGATACCTTGACCATTCGGAGGGTGCTCCCACACCTGGACTCCCTGGTCTGACTCGCTGTCACCCTGCTTCTCACCTACGCCCTGGCCGCTGAACTTGAGCGAGATTGCGTCAACTTCCTGGCTACCAATCTCTGCGTGATATTTGAGATCATCCAAGGTAAGGTAGCCCCCAAGATCCTGCACCACCTTCACCAGCGCTTGTGCGATGCGGCCTTCATAAAAACCTTTCTTACCCTCCGCTGCAAGCGTCCTGAACGTTCGGGCAAGGGTTGGAATTTTCATAATTTCGCCTGGCTTAGGAGCTCTCACTCCATCCTTCGCCTTGGGGTCATCTTTGAGCATCTCTCTAAAGTTAGGAGACGCGTCACGGATAGACTGCTCGCTAACATTCCACTAAATCGCATCTTGGTCAGCTTCTCAACCAAGAATTGAGAGTAGCTGCGAGCTGTTCGCAACTAGTGAATTCGGATAGCTTACCTGGTAGGAAGAGATGTCTGACACAGGAAAACCTTCCTCAGCGAGCTCGATGGCAGGCATCAGGATCTGTTCAAGGGAGAGCTTTCCACTGCCAAACTTCTCGACTGTATCGACCCATCCCGCTGCTGCACCTGGGGTCGTCGCCGCGAGAGCGCTCTTCTTAGGAATGTTTCCTCCTTGATTGGGTGCCAATCCTAGATCTTTCCTGATATCGGCTAGGGTGGCCTTCCCAGCATAACGGCCCGAGCCATTAAGCGCGTGGATCTTTTTAGTTTTGGCATTATAGAAGAGGCAAAACATGTCACCGCCAATTCCCGTGGAAGCAGGCTCGGTGACGTTTAATGCGGCAGCTGTCAACGCGATGCGCATACTGCATTAGTTTCCATCGTGGTGATATGATAGATGGGAAGGGTCTGTGCATACCAACTGCGACAGCAGCATCCTAGAAAACGTCGAAACTTTCAGTCAGAGATGATCATCAAAAGGGCCTCCATCACTAAAACTTACCGCTGCATTTCCGCCCTCCCTAAGGATCCTCTGGCCTGCCGCCGCGGCAAGAGGCTGCGTGCAGGCCACGATACCATTGGTGCTGTGGACGACACTCCTTCGACTGGCGAAAGAGAAGAAATCAAGTTTCGGCGGATAAATTGCCTTGGCGTCGAGTGGCATGTTGGAGTAGGATGGATGAGTCTATAATAATATAAGAATCTAGCCAATATATTATACAGTCTGCGGGACAAAAATCAGTTGTTCTTGATCGCGAGGATATCAACTCATCCCAAAGCTCTTCAATAAAGAATCAATCATATATATGTGTAAAAAAAGGCAGCTCGTCGCATGAACATGACTCTTTATCTCTCGGCCGGCGGGGTCTCCGCTCGGCAGTTGCGACAGTTGAGCGGATCATCTCCGACGTCGGGCTCAGGAACGACCTTCCACTTCAGGAAACGGGGATTTCCACAAGACGAATCAAAAGATAAGGGATATTGCCGGGACTGAGGTTATTATGAAATGATATATGCGAAGGAAAATAGTAATGCCACCACTTGCCATTGCCAGACAAAGGGGACAGCTGAGGGGAAGATGCTGCGGGGCGCCGTAATTGGAGCCTGAGGCATCAACTCTGCCCCGCGACTTTGCCGCCGAGTTGATCCTGCTCTGGCAATCTACGAACATTCATTCTCTTCTCCATCTTGCATCAGGCATTCCGTACGTACCGGGTCTCTCTCGGAACAAATGCACACTGCCGTTCTGCCACAACGCTCAGCACTCTGGCTCCTATGAGCCTTCAGATCTGGTTCCTGTCTCGTCCGTAGGACAGGATGGTGGTGTTCGTCGACTATGATGACCAGGGTTCGTACGATGACGCCCATCACCACCGGCCAGGTGATGCGGGCGCTGTTCTCCACCCTCGCGTCCTGCCGGACAAGTCGCCGTTCTTGTCCAGTGTAACACTGTCGTCTGCTCATCCGGATCAATTTCCGCCACAAGGCACTCAAGCTGGAGCACGCCAGGGAGACGATGTCGATGCGACGGCATCTTCTTCCGAGAAGCGTGACCGTCCAAATGACAACGCCTTCGCCGCTGCTCTGAGCTGCTATCCGTATGGGCCACCGATTCTGTCCATGCAAAGCCGTTTTCGTAGTGTAGATGCTAATCGAGATAAACAGTGTTGTCAAGGAAATTGCTAAATCCGTTGACTTGAACACGCTGGACGCGCTCTCCCGGACATGCCGTCAGTTTCGAGCCAACCTATTACCGTTCCGCCATCAGCTGATCAAGTTGACCTTGCGCTGTGAAAACGAGCGTATCGAAACGCTTTCCGATCTGTTGAGCGAAGGGGCAGCCATCCCTGAGAGCCTGAAACATGTCATTAGGTTGATCAATCAAGGCGCCCCGGAAGCTAGGAGACTCACCAGCGGCAGAGTTGGAAAATGTGCTCGTGACATGGTTGCTGAGTGCCGGAGATGCTCCAGGGTAGTGTGTAGGGTAGAGTGACACTGCAATAAGCCACTCCCTGCTGCACGATTTGCGTGCTAAGACCATTGTCATAGAACTGTACCATCAAACCCCCGAGCAATGCAATGCTCAAGAACCGCCTTCGCCGTCTTTGCACTACCTGCCGCTCAGCACCATTGGTTTATCATCTTTATCCGAAAGCGCAAATTGAAAAGGCACCGCCGAACGACCCACCGAGTTTTACCGAATCCGCTTTTGCACGCACGCCATGCAATTGCGAAGACGCAGTATGGCTGTGTCAGACGTGTGGACAATCGCTGCGCAATAATGACACGACATACAGACGCGTGTGGAGTTGGCGGGCCCGCTACAGTACGTATCGGGGAGGTGGTCTGGGGACAGGCGTCGGCGAAGGCAGCCAGGGCGTCAAGTGCGGACGTGGTGAGGATTGCTTAGCTGCCCAGGAGATTGAGCTGGAAGTCGTCTGCGAGGCCGACGAATCGGCAGTGGGTTCGTCCAACCACAGCCACGTTAACGGCCATGGCCATCATGTTAATGGTTATCACAATCGTGGACTTGGTGACTCGACGCAAGCTGGGAGGCTGGACAACCACGAAGAGGAGCCGGGATACTTCAGGCAGGAGATTGTTGGTATCGGTGGTGTCGTGAAGAAAAAGGCGAAGAAGAGAGTGATGGTGGGTGCTTGTGTCGATGAGCACGAGGATGAACACAAGTCAGGCAATTATCTGCTATCGGAGGAAAGTGGACAGCACCGTAGCTGGTGCAGCTGGTGCTGGAGGGTGGTTCCCAGCAAGGAGGATCTGCAGCAGCTGTCACATTGACGCATGCAGAATGCAGCACGCAGAATTCTGAGCAGGATTTGCAGCTGCTTTTTCTCTTGTAAAATACCCGCAGAGTGGCAGAGATAGATACAACAGCATAGTGTGAAATTATGTTAATGTTCAGAATGGGCCTAGTCTTCTTCCCATTCTAGGCATTCTGGCTTCAATCAGGGTTATAGATCAAGAATGACTTTGCTTGACGTAGAAAAAAGAAGACTGGAGGATTGGAGGAGAAAACAGAAGAAGAAGGTAGCGCATTCAACGAGAAGCTGGCTGAGGTTGAGAGTTTTTTTTTTTCCCCCTTACGTTCCTCTTCCTAATTAATCATGTCTAAGAACGAGTGAGAGGTGATTATATATATTCATTTATATACATGTGTAGAAGGCTTAAGACCTGCGACTTTCGCCACTGTCAGGGGGAGTAGATACAAGATATATGAAATATGATTATCAGAGACAGGACAAATAATGGAGGGGAAAGAAAGAAAGAACGAGTGCTATCAGCACTTGGTGAATTTTGCCATTCGGCTATGAATGAAGCACTTCCATCTACCTGTGACGACAAAGAAGATGGAAAGCCACTGAATATGGGAGCTTTTTTTTTTGAGAGCCTGAAAAAATCCAAGTATCATTATGTTCTTTGTCCATATTTCTTAATCTTCTCATTAGTGTGGTTGTTAGGTTTAATGTGATATGTTCTCAGTGTTGGCGGACTTTATAAAAATATATATCTTCGCTTAGTGATAATAGATATTAGGTGCGAAAGATTTAAAAAAAAACAAAAGATATTGTAGAAATTGTTCATTTATTTCTAGTCACAGACACAATTCATTTCACATTGGTAGGTATTATAGCGCACAAATTCTTGATCTTTTATCTCCTCTTCCACATGTATGTAAAACCTCATCATTCTGGCTGCTGTCCCCACCAAGGTATACACATTTATGTCTATGGATCTTTCAATGAGGCCTTTTTTTTTGCACGGAAACAAAAAAAAGGAAAGAAAGAGAAGAAGACAAGAATGTACACGCCTTGGTATTCTGTTTTCATTCATTCATTCCTCCACAATTACCATCATACTAGGAAGGAAGGAAGGAAAGAAGGAAGGAAAGATCCATTGTCTTCTCACTCTCGATTTCCCTCACATCCTACACCGTACACCTGTTCATCTGACTGTCCATCCTCCATTCCTCTTTCGGTTCCCTATTATTTATTTATTCACTCACATTTCTCTCATTCTAGCTATTATTGTCAATTTGTCACTGCTATTGGGGGCGACAGAGTGAGCCTTTTTTTTTCGGTGTCAAAAAAATTTTTTTTCTCACCATCTTCCTGCAGGATTGTGGGGAGGAGTGTATGCATGTACATTAGTTGGGGGAGAGGAACCGGGCGAGTTTGTGTGCATGTACTATTCCCGTACGGGTGAAGGGAAAAAATAAAAAAATAAAAATAAAAACAAACACGATGGTGGCAGTGATATGGGATCAATTTCTAGGAGTTAGATATAGGTAGACATTATTGTCACGAATTATTAGAATTTATCTAGTCTTTTCCTATAAAGAAAAAGGATATTCATATACTTCAGTTCGCAGGACTCTGTATTCCATACAGTTAGGTAGGTACACCGCAGCAAGTATACAGTGGCGCAGGCTTGCTTAGCTGGGGCCGAGTCGGCCGACTTGGGGCGGTTTTCTGTCAGGTCAATGATCATGAAACGAGCGAAGAGTTCATATGTATATAGAAAAATATGAGTATTATATAAACGACTCGACCAGCTACGACTTCGAGAGACAGGATGTCTTCATCTATCCTCAAGATTCTTTTGCTCAAGGACATACAGTGCTTTTGCTTCTGTGTGACTTTCTCCTCACGTGTTCTCACGTGTTGGGCTTCTCATATATTCAACGCCTGGATCCCTGCGAGCTGTGCAAGACCATAGACAGGCTGGCTATCCTGACTAATCCTCGCTTGCAGTCATCCGACACTCCTCGCTTCCATTATTATTACTATTATTATTTACTACCCTTCCCAGTTACAGGACTATCATGTGATGGCCCTCCGATGCAGTTTCGAAACAGCCGGATCTGCAGGTGCTAGAGAGACCATTTCGCTCCGAAGTCCATGGAAGGATCGAAGAATCACCCTAGAACAACCTGAAACACCGGCACAGTGCGTCTGTCAGGGCATGGCACTGCGAGCTTAAAATAGAAGATCCGACTCCCAACACATTGCCGTCTTTACTCAACGCATCCACCTCGGACCGGCAACGTTGGAGGTGGATAACGGCATTTGGCTGGCTGTGAACGTATGAAAGACAGGAGCCAAGACGGAAATTGTTCGTTCGAAGGATCCTCCGCGCGCAGGGGACTCGACAGGGACGTGCATGTCAACATCCAGGGACAAAGGCCAACGGTGAATTAGTTACCGGGTCTGGTAAGGCCTCAAGACTGTCGTTGACTGACACGAGTTAGGATTTGTCACATCGAAGCCTGCAGAACACACGAAGAACACGGGATCCCCCGGTTGATCCGCGCCTTTCCCCATTTTTCCGCCTCCAGTTCTGCAAGATGCAGGTCCGAAGGCCAAGCATGCAAGATCGCAAAGATGGTGTGTTGGGCTGGACGTTGTTTGGGGGCCGTAAGATGGGGATGGTCATCATGCAAGCCTGAAACAGGCGATGCAAGGATAGCACCTGCGCAGGCGAGTATACACATGAGATCGTCAGGCTAGGCATGCGCCGGCGCGTGCACTGGCGAGTAGCAAGCAAGAGGGGTAACAGGTTGGTTGGTGAAGCATGGCGGGGAACCCTGTCCTCCAGATGTGCCTAAATCGCCTAAATATGGCAATCACGCAACAACCTGTAGGCAGGCAGGCGGTCCCTGGTAAGCGTAATGTCACACTTGTCCAGGCTCTCAGATGATGCATATTGCACGAGGAAAGGCATGAAACGACTCCAAGCAGTCCGGGGCACGTCCGGTAGTACCTCAGGATGACTAACAGATTTGCCAAGAATATATGTCCTACTCTATACAGTGTACTCCATGGACTCAGACTCCGATCTTCGGAGTCGTTGGATCATGCTAGGTATTTCCACACCATTTTTCCCTTGGGCAACGCTACGACCAAAGGTTCGCACAGAAGCCAGCTGCAAGCAAGGCGGATACAGTGATAACGGGTGGTCATATCAGTCCAAGGGGGTCCAGATCTTCACGAGGTTCTCCGAGCTTTGCAGATCTGTCCTTCCGTCTTGGTGAGTGGGGCAGGTCGAGAGCACGGAGGAGTTCTGGCCTTTGCATCTCATACTAGTTTAAAAATGACTGACTGATGGGAGCGAAACAAAACGCCGTGATAATGTCCCCACCGTCTAAGTGTTTAGCTGCAGATTTGGCTTGGACGAAGGTAACGAACGGGATGGCTGTAAGTAATGACGGCAGCGATACATTACCGGTGGGGGTTGTGGCTATTTTTACCCGATCCTTAGCGCGATCCTGCAGGATCGCAGGCGCCGATCATGTTTTCTAGAAAACCGACAGAAGGCCCGTTTCGCGCACGAGATCCCGAATCTCCGCTTCGCTCCCCCATTGGCTGCCGTCCCCGGCCACCGGTCCTTCCCCAGGCGGCCCGCCCTCATTGGCCGATGGTGGCGTCGCTGTGGACCGCGTTCCCGCGTGCGGTCGTCGAATACAACCTTGATATCTATTTGATAATGAATTCCATGGTCAGGCCTATCGATAAGCTTGAATACCGAAGCGATGTGGGTCTGGGCCCCAGCACGAGATGCAAGTGCAACAACCCTGACAGTGTTTCAATACGTTACAGAAGTTTAATTTGTTTAGGTAGGGCTCACGATATACCATATTGGGACGAGCCCTAATCTGGTGCAGGTGGACCTGATGCCTGGGGTTCTGTTTGTCATACTACTTCATGCTCTGTAGGGACCAACAGGATTGCCAACTGGCTGATGATAACAAACAACATAGACATGCAGTGCTGTTTCATCACTTTACTACCAGGGTCTACAATCATTAATGCCGGAGGTGGAGCATGGCCTCGTTGCAACGATAATAAAGCATAGACTAGGCAGTTACTCGCTAGGTCCACTCTCCCATATCTATGAGTCTAGGACTTTTATGATAAGATTCACTATTGTTGTTGGCAGAGATTCCCAAAACGGGGGAATCCTCATCATTGATGATTTACAGTTAGGGTATTGCCGTCGAGCTCTCTAATCTGATCTGGAGGACGATGAGATAAGAATTAAGAATACCCCTCAAAACTCAAAAATTGAGATCTGATGAGAGTTAGAGCAACGCGATCGATCTGGCAAGACCTAAATTCTTGACAGCAACTATCGCCTCTTGTCTTTCAATAGTCTCGTATTTTAACCTTCTGATATCTAGGCATAAGAGAGGCCCGTGGCTGTTGTGCGAATTTTGGTTGGTGGTGCCTTAACAAGCTTCGTCCACGTGCTTGTGTCGGCGCATTATATATCACATTCCTGTCTTCTAGAAGGATTCTAGAAAAATCACAATGAAAGTGGAGGAATGATCCTGTTGCCCCAGTGTGGAATCGGGTTGCCCTTCCTCGAAGTCCAAATGCCTCATTACTCCATATGGAGTACATACTACTGCCGAACTTCCCGAACAGATACACTGACGTATTAACATCTCACTGGATCACGTCATTTCGATGTGTCATTTTTTTTTCGGATACATGCATTTTTCCCCTTCTTTATGTTTTGAATCGCCAATATCATTGCCGATAATGTTCCGGTCATCGACGTATTGCCTCAGTAGGAACTGCATGAACATGATCGACGCGGAATGTAATAATTCCATGCCCTGAAGAGACACGTTCCTCATATTATCTTTCTAAATTTGGACATAATTTTGGTTCGTTTCGGCGCGATTGATAAGGAACGAAGTACACCATACGGAGTACGGAGTATACACGGAGACGTCATTCATTGCCTAAAACGCCCCTAACCCCTTACTCCCCTACCTGCATCTACCGACGTCGATGGTCAGGATGAAGCACTGGTGCGAGCAAGGCTGAAACATGAAACATGGCCCTGTAGGGCATAAGCAAGGACACGAGTCATGTATGATGCGGATGTCTTCAACCGATCAGATCCTGCAAGTATCCGAGGCATCTGATTGGCCGCAAGATCCCTGCCAGCCACATGCGGGAAGGGCGCAACGGCGTCTGGGAGTGCTAATTTAGGCTGCCTTCTCGACCATCGCAGCACGGAGTATTTTTCCCGGTAATTCAATTCGAATTTCATACGGAATACATTTCAGGGATTTGAAATTGTATTTCCAGAGAATTCTTCAAAAGAGTTAGGTAGGGAAGAGCACCAAAGCGGTGGCACTCGCTTAGTCATTAACTTTGGCCTAATCCTACAGTCTAAAATAGGTACCGAAATTCATCTGGTAAAGTGATGACAAATTTCATTTAACCCCTCGCTTTAGGTTAGGTGCCTAGCGTGCGAACCTTGAAGGTAGGTAATATCTCCAATTCCCAGGACCCACCCTGGATGGCATGTTAGCTACCTCGTGGAAAATGAGATAGGCCATGGAACGCCGACGAGGTAATCTCACAGTCAGCACTTAGGTAAGCTGACTGGCGTCATCACACCAAGGCATTTCCCCCTGATATCTGACACTAACAACGGCTTTTAAATTATATCACGCAGTGATCTGCGTAAGCAGAATCCTGGCAGCTTGGCTTATTTCATCTACCTGAATTAGACGGAGGTGGAGGCGGAGTTACTGTGGTGACTACAATGGATAGCGCGAGTTGAGCTAGTGAGCTGGTCATCTGGATATTATTTGAGTTTCCACCGAAGATCACGACATTTGTTATATATGCAGCAACGCTCTCCAAGCGCACGAGCCTGATCTTATTGGTTGTCCCATGTGGTGATCATCCGCAACTCCTCCAGGCCATGGATCGCTAGCCCTTATCGCATCGTCAGCGGAATGGGAAATGATCGTCCCAAGGTCCCCAGTTCCAGATAGCTTAGGAGAGCAAAGCCAAGCTTTCGCCAAGCGGGGACTCTGATGACTTCAGATTTCCCAGGTGGGCCTCGGCTTGGTCTCCGAAAGTCTCCGCAGGTCTGATTTGGAAGGTGAATCTGGATGCCTTTCACGGCAGGCTTGCAATTAAAGGATTCCTGGAAGCAGGAAAACTAGTCACGATGACGGCGCTGTAAGGAGACTATGGGATGATTATGGATATTAGCAAGAGTCCAGGCGTCACCAAGGTAACTAAACAGGATGGAATTCAGGCTGTTATTCCCAAGAGGGACTAGTCGGAGTCTCTCCGACTAATTAAGTCCGACGAAGAGCTGATTAAATATGCAGATGGCAATCGCACCAATGAGAGACCCTGATCGGTGTATATTTATGCTCCGGCCGGCGACTGTTGAGGAGGTATTTGGCGAATTGCGCTATTCCCAAAAAGGCGCTAACTTAACGGCTTCAGGCGGGTCCAGCCAAGAGCTGGAGACCTCCGGGATATACAGAATGGGCAGCTGGTGTGCAAAAGAGGTCTTGGCCCTCTGCCTGAGGCATGAGCAATTCTGTATAACCTGTATACAGAGACCGGACTCAACAGAGAACGGAGCACTGAGCACTGAGAGCGCATTTTGCTCATGTTATGCGCCGTGGCCTGACTCCTGACTCTGATCTCTGGTGGCTGGCGCTAACCTCATGTCCCTTGCAAATCATTAGTCTCGTCACTGCATGCATGTATGACGGATCCTGCCTGACCCCTGACGTCAAGGAGAGCAAGCACATGGTGGTCTGTGACAGTCTGACAGATTGCCTCTGGCCAAGTCAATGTTGTTGTTCCTGCCAAATGAGAGAATTATATGTGTCCTTTCTCAAGCTCGACTGACCCCTTGGGACAAACGAGCCGAAGGTAATACTCCGTACGGCCCTCGCAAACTGACCGCAATTCTTAGCTGTTACTCAAAGATTCTCCTCTGTCAGACTACTGACCCCCCCCCCCCTTCTCTCTCGTTATCATTGACGACGATATCAAGAAACCATTATCAGACCCTCCCCTCCACCCCTGAACCCACGAGCAATACAGAGCAGCGAGCTAGCTTCTTTGCACTATTAGATAGGATCATTCCTAGCTGGTGGTGATCTGCCCGACTAAATCCTCAATCATGTCGCAAAGCTGCAGACTCCGCAGGCCACATAGTCCTGCACCTCAGTCCGTCGCGACCGAGCCGACTACCCCTCGTCTCGAAGACCTGAAGGATTCTGACCCCTGCGCGCTCGAGTGGGTGTCCGTGCATATGACTGGCTGGATTTGTCGTGGTACACCCACGTGATAGAACGGTGTTCTGGGAGACCCACCCACGCAGTCCTCGCCCAATCGCCGACTGCCGACCAAGCTTGCAGAACTTCTGCGTTCCTTCCATAATCCATGCCTCTCTCCATGTGACATTGGAATGAATGCCATCCCAGACCGTCGGATGCGCCCTCGTTTGCACGCGACATATGCGCGTGGTCCATTAGCAGTGACTAATCTCCAGCAGTATGCCAGGGACCCTGGTGATGCTGGAACTGGGCCAATTTATTAGGACATGAAGCAAAGGAGCGCTACAGGACTTTCGCCACGGGCTTGTGAAATTGCCTATCGATCTTCCCGCGCCTTCCGCGTGCTGCACATGCTGTAGAATCCGCCAACTTCGGCGCCCTGTAGCAAGAAAACGGTGCAAACGACGGCCTCGTCCTAAACCGCCCGGTGCGTTCCTTATTTTGAAGACTACTCCGTCGCTACTGAAAAAAATGGGCGCCATAATTACAACGGTCGCTCAGGCTGGCCTGAGCAGCAGAGCAGAGCCCGTTATTGAACAGCTCCCCTAGTAAGTAAGTAGTTCGCGCTGTCTAGCACAGCACGGCATTCTCAGCGATGTCGCTGCTATCTGGAGGTGAGTTTCTTTCTATTTTGGGGCGCGGGGTTTGAACCAAGGTTCGCCGGAACGGTGGGTCCACAGCGGACAGCTTCCACATTAGTACAGGTTGTGTATATACGGTGTGCAATGGCCCAATCGCCGTTGATTGTGCTGCGCGGGGCAATTCTCAGCGCATGTGAAAGCCAGCAGATAAGATGGATGCTTGTATTCGAAAGCGGCTCGACTCAGACACCGAGAATATACGGACGTAGGCCACGAAATCGTAGGTGGGTTCTCGACAAAATGTGTCGTGTGCTGAGCTGACGCGCTATATTTATTCCAGAACACGGGACGCCTCGCTTGACTGCAGGCTGCAGACACAATTCTCAGGTCGGCGCAGCATCAGCATGCAGTGTGCTCGGCAGGGTGCCTGATTGGCCAGGGTGCCAAGCAGCCGACATGCAAGAATTACAGCACGGTCCAGTCATATTTTTTGCGTGCTCGAGCTCGTGCCTGATTGACCTGAGGCCAGCGGATTTTTTCTGCTGCACTCGGCCTGGCTCGTTGGTGGACAGGTCACGGGTGTGGCAGTGGGGACTCTGATAGACCTGTAGGACGATAGCCCACTTCCCCAAATTATCTGCCGTCCAACTCCCAACTTCCCAACACCACGTTCCCCGCCAGCGACCGCAATCGAGGTGGTGCGCTCTCTGTCGTGATCATGGCCAGCTTATTGGGCCATTATTTTCGCACGCCAACGTTGACAAGTGCTGCTGCGCCGACACAGCGCCTGCGCCTGCGACTGCGCCTTGGGGACGCTCGCCGGCTCAGCTCTGTTCCTGCGCCATCCAATCCTGCTGGTATTTTGCGTCCGGAACTCCGCACTCCGAATCTGACTGCATGGCTCTGCAGTGCGTCTCTTCGGGAATCCGTAGCATGCGCATCGGAGGGTTCGGCGGTGGTCGAGCCCAGTGCAGGTCCGCGGAGGGTGCGCTGGACAAGCTATTTCGGGAAATTCGCTGGCCGGCAGTAACCACTCAGGCCACGGGCCCGCCCTCCAGAGCGTGCAAGCGCCGGCCGCCAATCAGGGCGCGGCGCCAACCAACACGCTCGCCGGCGTTCCCCAGACCAGCTTGTCAGGTCGCTGGGCATTCGGTATTTGCCCAAGGCCGCCGTTCCCAACTCCGGGCCTGCTCCCACGGTGGCTTGCGGCCGTCCAGCCCGCCGATCCCGCGTCGCCTCTCCCGCACCAGCGTTGATTTAGTTGAACCGCCATGGCGCTGGGCGTCACGCCGTCCTCGCCTAGCATCTCCACCCGCTGTTGCTCGAACCGCGCTCCGTCCCCAGTAGTCTAATACGCCGTCTGTATTTCCATTACCGCCGTACCGTACCGCCGCTCCGTCCGCCGTATCTGCAGCACGCAGGCTTCAGCCGCATCGCCTAACAGCCAGGGTCGCCTTTTTTAGAGCATGCCAATCGCCGTCCCAACCTTATAGCCCTGGTAGCGCCCAGTCCGGCTGCACTAGCGATCCTTGCCGCTCTCTGCCTGGCCCACTTCGTGCGCGTGTCTTCAAGCTTTCTATCTTGGCTTCGCTGCTGCTCCAACATCGCGCCAGGGTGACTTGCATACGGGATCATCACCATGTCCAATTCTAGCGTCCAGCCACCTGCGTATCGTCCTGTCGCCCACGTTTCAAGTCCCGGTTCCAGATTAGGAACTCGCCATTGGTCTAATCAGCTCTCCTCCCCCCCGTTTGTACAGAGTATATCTGGCGCCTCCCACCACCTGTGTAGAATTGCATCTTCTTCCATCGACCTTCTCGAAGCTGACCACTGCTTGTCGCATCGTGTCCTTGTTGTTCCTATCCTCTTCCTTTCCTTCACCTCACTCATCTCTATCTCCTCCCACCCACATACAAATCCCTCCCAGCTCCTAGGCTTATAGATATATACTATGTCCAGAGAGTCGACAACAGAGGTTAACACGACAACTACGAGGCCTTTACCAACCGGTGGTCGGCCGCGACACTCATCCACGTCATCTACCTCGTCCATTGCCGACTCCGTCTCCTCAATGCCTTACAGCAGTCCCGTCCTGGCCTCGCACAAGAAGCAGTCGCATAACTACCTTACTCGACCAGCTCCGCCTACTTCGCACCCGACCACCAGCTTGGCCCCAGCAGACAACAACAACAACAACAGCACGCGCCGGACGCCGAATATCATGGGCGACATTCCTTTGCCCATCACATACACCCCCACCACTCACAGAATCAGCAAGGCCAAGAAGGGGAAGCGGGTGCATGCGTGCGAATTCCCTGGCTGCAACAAGGTCGGTTCTTCCTGTTGGTCTCGTCCCAAGAACTGTCTCTGACAACTGAGCAGGTCTTCACAAGGGCCGAACACAGACGGCGTCACGAATTGAACCACAACCCGGAAGCCTCGTTCCGATGCACCTACGCAGGATGCCGCAAAGCTTTCCACCGATCTGATCTGCTGGCGCGTCACATGGAGAGACAGTACGTTCAACCCTCTCCCCTCCGTTGGTCGGTTGGTGGCTAACCCAAGTCTAGCGAATTGGATGCGCAGTCGGAGGGAGGCTCTGGACGGCACTGGAGACAACAGAGCAAGTCTTCAGTTACTTCCGCTCCTACGACGATGGTGAGCCAGATGCCACCAATCGAGGCCACTTCGGCATCGTACCCGTCAAGTCAAGCGTCCACTCCCATGTCATCGGCCAGCTCGGTGGTTGGGACTCCAGACCTGTCCGGCGACCTCTCTCTCTCGTGGAACGGAATGGAGATACCATTGCAGCCGAGACCAACCGTCTTTGGCAGTCACATCCGTGATTCTGCGGACGACCTCTCCTTCTACTCATCTCCAGACACTTGCGCGTCTCCGGCTTCGGATACGACTGGCTTCGTGATGCAACCCTCATCCGCTCCCACGTCGGTGATGGAGCCGTTTGCCAGTGGTGTCTTCCACCAAGACCTGACCGCATCTCCCATCCAATTGCCCGCCACCACCTCGCGCGAGTGGGATGGTCTTGATGCAGTTTCGGCCCCGCCCATGATGCCTCTCTCTCTGGACGGCAGCGACATGATGCAGCCAGTAGGTGAACCTTCCCTCCTTAAGTGAGAGCCTCCCCCCAATAATTTCTGGCTAACATCGTGGAAAAACAAAAAAGAACCTCCAGTGCCAATACCCCTCTCCAACCTGGATGGGGATGAGTGGTTTGCCTTGCGACGAGAACTTACTTCCGCCCCCGGAGTCGTTTCAGGAAACGACGGCATGGAAATCGTGGACACTGTGAAATGGCAGGACTGCTTCGAATGCTACTGGCAGCACTTCCACCCCCTGTTCCCCATCGTCCATCGTCCAACCTTCTTTGCGACCAAGCCTAGTCCCCTCCTGGCAGGTGCCATGGTTGCGATAGGCTCCCAGTACGATACACGGCCGAATGCAAAGGAATACTCTCTCGCTCTTCTGGAGGCCTGTCTGAAACTGCTTTCAAAGAGGCCCCCCATCACCAGCCGCTCCCGCGTGACCGATATTCAGGCGGTGTTCCTGCTGGAATTTTTGTCTAAATTTCGGTCGCGAAAAGCCGACGTCCAGGTCTCCCACCGTTTTCGGAGTCTGTACGGCAGCTTCATGCAAGACCGGCACTGGGTGTCGCAAAATCCTCTCGCGGTTTTGAATACGCTACCCCGCCTTCCGAATGCAGATGCGCTGAAGAGGGCGCAAAAATTCTGGGTTGAACATGAAGCTAGGCGACGGGTCTTGCAAGCTGCGTTCATTCTTGACATTCAGCAGTCCGTGCTGTTTGGTCAACCCCCGGTCTTGTTGCAACCCAGTTCCGGGACAACCGGCGTCTGGGAACAAGGGTCACGGACGATCGATCTACCGTTCCCCTGCAGCTCGGATCTGTGGGAGAGCAGGCAGGTCGAGGATTGGCTGCGCCTCGCAAAAGCATACTCCCCGGCATCACTGGCCTCTGTAGCCGCTACATTTGGCGAACCTACGGGGCTGAAGGCAGAACAGATCGATCCTTTCCAGTCTATGTTGCTTCTTGCGTATAACTTGTCGGGGCGTGCCCAGAGTCGTGACCTCGAGGGCTCACTCGCGAAGTTCGCGAACACCCTGGAGAATGTGGCCGGTTCTCAACAAACCGGTGCACCCTTGCCAGCGTTGTCCTCGCCCCATTCGCGCACGCTTTTCAGCCATCATGCGCTCCTGGCGGCTCGGTATACGCCTGTTCAGGCTTTGTTGACGGTCAGTGGAGAGTCTTGGCTCTTCAACCGGAAGCTGCCTCAAGAAGGCGACTTTCGAGTTGCAAAGGACGTATTACGGCAGTGGGTCTCGGATACAGACGACGTGAAGAAAGCCGTCTGGCACGCCGTACGAGCATTACAGTATGTCGTGCTCGTTGACACGGCAGCACCGACGGGTTCGTGGAGCAGCTTCCAACCGATGCCGCAGGGAACGGAGCCGTTGGGGATGCTCCAAACGGATTGGAGTCTTTACATCTGTGCGTTGATCTGCTGGGCTTATGGGTTTGACGCGTCGTCGTCAGCATCAGCGACACATCATGAAAGCAGCAGCAACACCGAGCTTGCACGTGCCTACGTCCAGGCGATGGTGTCGATCGCACCAACGTGGGAAGGCATGTCTCGGGAGAGCATTCCGGCCCGTGTGCGATGTAACACCGTGCCGCTTCTTGGAGTTCCTGCGCAGTACTAGACTGCAAGAAGGTCGCATGGGAGGACTTTTGAACGAAGGCGAACGGGTTCTAGCCCGTCTTTCCGAGCCGCGGACGAGTCATGCGGGAGGAATCGGGGGAATGTGGAGCTTCTAGCCAGCCAGCATCTCGAGTGGTCTTGTGTTTTTTTTTCTCTCTTCTTCGAAGTCTATATACATACATAAGGGATTGTCCTGGTGCAAAGGTTGATCAATCTTGGATTGTGGTTACGATTTGATGAGTTTTGTGTTTTTTTTTTCTCCCTGTCTTTCGTTTGGAATTGTACCATTATACCCCTCGTTTTGTTACGTTGTATATGTACGGAGTATAGGTCACAGGGTGTGGTAGAAAGAGTTGTGTGTTACGGTTTTTTTCTTTGGGTTTGATTGGTTTGACTGGTTTAGTCGACTGGTTTGACTTTTTTTTTTACTTACTGTACTGTATGTACGCTTATGTGTGATGTACGGGGTTGCATAGATAGCTCTGGCTTTTTTGCCTGTACTGTACTGTATGTACATAGCCATTTGTCTTGAATGACTAGTTCAATATTGACTTTTTGGATAAGCTTGACATGACTGTGAACGTAGCATCAATGGAAGTTAGTTGAATGGTTACCATGCAACTTTCAGCCTCAGTCAGGGGCATCTCCACCACCAGCCCAGCCCAGCCCAACGGGCCAATAACTGCCGATAGTGATGGGATCCATTGATTAGGTAGCTTTTATAGCCTCGTGCGATTTTACCTAGAATGTTAAGAGTGAAAAAAGAAAAAAGGACTGACAGGACAGGAAAAAGAAAAATAAAACCATGTAACTCCAGACGACGATCATCATTATTAATTTTAATATTAATTGATCCGTGCTTTCGATCGATCTTAGTAATGGAGTAGTAGGACCAGGACTAGGACTCTTTGAGGCTAGATAGACAGATTCGACCGTTCGAGTTTAGCTTACGGAGTACGGAGTAGACTGATAGCTACCCCTAAGTCCGTTACGTATGGAGTAAGACTTGTACTTCGTAAGAACACGACATTAATTATTTAGTTTAAAAAATCCGAGAAGGAAGGATTGCAATATTCGACGAGTCGGGTCGATGACTAACTAATGCCGATAGCTAGCTAGCTACCTACCTAGGTACAGTACATTACCTAGATAGTACCTAGATAAATCTGCCTAGGGTGAAACTACTCCCTACTGCTGCTATAATAGCTTTCTGCCAGACGAACCGTCTCTTGACTGCAAAGTACTCCGTGTCAGGAGTATCAGATCAGCCACAGCTACATCCACATCCACAGACATCCGGCCGGCCGCCCGGGAAGGCTGTTCCGTCGGTAGTCCGATCCTTCTCAAGCGCGGTTGATTCCTTGTTTCACTTGTCAAATTGTGATGAGAAAATAGTTTACAGGTAACAGAGCAGACAGGACGGAGTTCTCTGTCCTAAGCATGAAGTATAAGCAAGCAAGCAAGCTCTACTATACTGTACTGCAGATCTGATCTCATCTGCAAGGTTCCTTAGGTATGGACATGTACTGTACATAGGCAGACTACTAACTAAGCAGTCAGTACTCCGTACTACTCCCTACGGTACATAACTCCATAACTGCCGCTGTCGGATCTTCGTGTTTAATTAGTGTAATTAGTTAGTGTTTGGCAATGACATGCGCTAAGCGATTACTCCCAAGCCAGGATTTATAGAAGTTGGGATTTGCCTAGGATTCCATTCCTATGGAGTGTGAGAAGGAATACTACTATGAGTATGGAGTATGTAACTAATTAACTTACTAATTAATAATTAATAATAATGGTATTAATAACAAGACGAAGAATTATTATTCCTCGTTTGAATCTACGGAGTATACAAACCTGGAATAGTAGAAAAAAACGAGTTTCGCACGGTACTCCGTATAGTAGTAGTTCTTCAATTAATGTGGGCCTGACTCCGGACTAATAGTTACAATTACTCCGTACTGTACTCCATACCTGACGATAAAAGTTAAAAAAAAAGATTCGTTTCCCCATAGAGTAAGTAATCATGGAGGTCCATACTCCGTACTCCGTATAGAGGACCACGTGCACCTCGCACGGACCAATACCACTACCTCCTACCTCATACCTTCAATTGTTGTAGACAGCTACCTAGATAGCCTTCAGGACCTTGACTCCATCTTTTTTTTTTAATTCATACACAGTCTTCTTGTTCATATTTTGACGTTAGTTATGTCCAGCCAGGTCATAACATCTTGTTGTATCCACCTAGCACCCACGTGACGACCACATCTAGATGATCAATAATCAGCAAGGACGAACGAAGGTAAATAAAAAAAAAGAGGAGAGGAAGAGGGAAAAAAAGGGTAGGATTCAAGCAGATTTCTTTTTAGTCTGCAGTACACGTAATTAAAATAGTTATTGTCTATTTAAATAACGTGAGATAAATACATTGTGCCATTATGGATGTCAGTAGCTTATCTACATACAACTTACGGAGTACGTATGTGCATACATCTGTACAGTACGGACAATGATGTCTACCTGCCTGCCTAAGTTACCAAGGTACTTACTTGCCTAAGGTGAGCTTCCTTCCTCCCTTCCTTCCTTCCTTCCAGTTCTTGATCTGCTATCTGCTGGCCCTCTTCCCGTATGAGGAAGGAATACAAATTGCCTAGGTAGGTCAAAATATCGTATAAAAATCTGCGAGCAGCTCTTTCCTTCCTCACTCGGACATCGCCGCTTTAAGCGGGTGAGCTGGGTGAGTCAGGTGATCAGATCACCCAGTCAAGGTGATTTGCTCACCCGCGCTCATTTATACTCACCCCATCTTCACCTGTCCTTCCCTTATAATTGCGCAGGCTGTTTAGCAACATCCAACCCAGGAACTATGCAGAGAAGAGATTGGATAATGAAGGTGGCAGTGCGCCATCCCCTGCTGATGCCAGAGAAAGGGACAATGGAAAAAATTGTGTCCTGCAATCCTGTTTCTCCTCTGTTCTTTCCAACCTTTCGTTTCCTCTCCCTTTCCTCCCCTTCTGTACTTGTTATGATCCTACAGAAATCTTTCTGTATTTCTATACTTATCTCTATAGATTTCCTTCTCTTTTCTTCTCATTCATTCTTCTCTTCTCTTTACTTCTTTTTTTTCTGCCGCAGATTAGTGGTTGAAATTTTCCAAAATGCCGAAGACAAAGGTGGATAGACTTGCTCGTGCCAATACCCTAGTTAAGGCATACAGGGTAATCAGTCTGCTCAACTACCTAGGGAAAGTGATAGAGAAGATAGCGGCAGAGGCCATATCTGACTATTGTGAAACCATGGGGGTACTACACCCAGGCCAAATGGGGAGCCGCAGGCACCGGAGTGCCATAGATGCCGTGGCATGCCTGATCCAGGAGGTACATCAAGGCTGGGGGCAGAAGCAGCTTGCAGGGCCTCTTTTTATGGATGTGAGGGGTGCCTTCGACCACGTGGACCCAGCTAAGCTCGTTAGAAGGATGGGAAAGTTAGGAATAGACGGGG